CCCCCCGGATCCCCTGGCGGCGCCGTTTCCCAGCCGGGTTCATCGGGAACGGCTCCTCCGAGGGGGCTCCGTGCCCACGGCTTCCCAAATTCCCAAATTTCCCCTTTTTCCTGCCCCCCAATTCCCAAATTCCCAAATTTCCCCCCTTTCCCTGCCCTCCAATTCCCAAATTCCCAAATTTTCCCTTTCTCCACCCTCAATTTCCCAGAATTCCCCAAAAATTCCCCCCTCAAATTCCCACAATTCCCAAATTTCCCTTTCCCTGTCCTCAGATTCCCAGAATTCCCAAAATTTTCCCTTTCTCCACCCTCAATTTCCCAGAATTCCCAAAAAATCCCCCCTCAAATTCCCAGAATTCCAAAATTTTCTCTTTCCCTGCCCTCCAATTCCCAGAATTCCCTGAATTTTCCCCTTTTCCTGCCCTCGAACTCCCAGAATTCCCAAATTTTTTCCTTCTTTCCCCTCAATTTCCCAGAATTCCCAAAATTTCCCCTTCCCTGTCCTCAGTTTTCCACAATTCCCAAAATTTCCCTTTTCCCTGCCCTCAAATTCCCAGAATTCCCAAATTTTTTCTCTTTTCCAGCCCTCGATTTCCCAGAATTCCCAAAAATTCCCCCCTCAAATTCCAAAAATTCCCAAAATTCCCAAATTTTCCCTTTTCCAGCCCTCGAATTCCTGCAATTCTCCAAAAATTCCCCCTAAAATTCCCAAAATTCCCAAAATTTCCCTTTTCCTCTCCTTAAATTTCCCACAATTCCCAAATTTTTCCCTTCTCCACTCTTAATTTCCCACAATTCCCGGAATTTTCCCTTTTTCCAGCCCTCAAATTCCCAGAATTCCCCAAAAATTCCCCCCTAAAATTCCAAAAATTCCCAAATTTTCCCTTTTCCAGCCCTCAATTTCCCAAAATTCCCAATTTTTTTCTCTTTCCCTGCCCTCAAATTCCCACAATTCCCAAATTTTCCCCTTTTTCAAGGCCTCGATTTCCCAGAATTCCCAAATTTTTCCCATTCTTTGCCCTCAAATTCCCAGAATTCCCAAAATTTCCCTTTTTCCAGCCCTCAAATTCCCACAATTCCCAAATTTTTCATTCTTTGGCCTCGATTTCCCAGAATTCCCAAAAATTCCAGGATTTTTCATGGAAAAACTGAGAAAATCTGGGATTTTTCTTGGAAAAACTGAGAAAATTTGGGAATTTTCATGGAAAAATCGAGAAAATCCAGGAATTTTAATGGAAAAGTAAAGAAAATCCTGGAATTTTCATGGAAAATTGGAGAAAATCTGGGATTTTTCTTGGAAAAATTGAACAAATCCGTGAATTTTCCTGGAATTTTCATGGAAAAATTGAGAAAAATCTTGGAATTTTCCTTGAAAAGTGGAGAAAATCTGGGATTTTTCATGGAAAAACTGTGAAAAATCCAAGAATTTTAATGGAAAAATACAGAAAATCTTGGAATTTTCCTGAAAAAAGGAAAAAATCTGGGAATTTTCATGGAAAAATTGAGAAAATTTGGGAATTTTCCTGGGAAAATGGAGCAAATCCAGGATTTTTCATGGAAAAACTGAGAAAATCGGGGATTTTTCTTGGAAAAATGGAGATAATTTGGGAATTTTCCTGGAAAAATTGAACAAATCCAGGAATTTTCATGGAAAAATCGAGAAAATCTGGGAATTTCCTGGGAAAAATTGAAAAATTCCGTGAATTTTCCTGGAATTTTCGTGAAAAAAATGGAGAAAATTTGGGATTTTTCTTGGAAAAACTGAGAAAAATCCAAGAATTTTAATGGAAAAGTAAAGAAAATCCGGGAATTTTCATGGAAAAACTGAGAAAATTCAGGAATTTTCCTGGAAAAATGGAAAAAATCTCGGATTTTTCTTGGAAAAAAGGAGAAAATTCAGGAATTTTCATGGAAAAATGGAAAAAATCCAGGAAATTTTGAGGAAAAATTGAGCAAATCCAGGATTTTCATGGAAAAATGGAGAAAATTCAGGAATTTTTACATAAAAATTGAGCAAAATCTTGGAAATCCAGGATTTTCATGGAAAAATGGAGAAAATTCAGGAATTTTTACATAAAAATTGAGCAAAATCTTGGAATTTTCATGGAAAAATGGAAAAAATCCAGGAATTTTCCTGGAAAAATTGAGCAAAATCCAGGAATTTTCTTGGAAAAACGGAGAAAATCCTGGAATTTTCCTGAAAAATTGAAAAAATCTCGGATTTTTCTTGGAAAAAAGGAGGAAAATTTGGGAATTTTCATGGAAAAATTGAGCAAAATCCAGGAATTTTCTTGGAAAAATGGAAAAAATCCAGGAAATTTTGTGGAAAAATGGAGGAAATCCAGGATTTTCATGGAAAAATGGAGAAAATTCAGGAATTTTTACATAAAAATTGAAAATCCAGGAAATTTTGTGGAAAAATGGAGGAAATCCAGGATTTTCATGGAAAAATGGAGAAAATTCAGGAATTTTTACATAAAAATTGAGCAAAATCTTGGAATTTTCATGGAAAAATGGAGAAAATCTTGGAATTTTCCCAGAAAAACGGAGAAAATTTGGGAATTTTTATGGAAAAATGGAGAAAATCCTGGAATTTTCCTGGAAAAATTAAGAAAATCTTGGAATTTTCATGGAAAAATGGAGAAAATCCAGGATTTTCTTGGAAAAATGGAAAAAATCCAGGATTTTTCTTGGAAAAATGGAGGAAATCCAGGATTTTCATGGAAAAATAGAGAAAAAATCAGGAACTTTTACAGAAAAATTGCAAAAATTCAGGAATTTTCTTGGAAAAATGGAGAAAATCTTGGAATTTTCCCAGAAAAACGGAGAAAATTTGGGAATTTTTGGGCAAAACCGCGAAATTCCCAGATTTTCCTGAAAAAAAAAGAGGAAATTCCTTTAACTCCGCCCATTTTTCCAGGAATTTTTTGCTTTTCCGGGATTTTTTCCCCATTTTTTCCACCCAAAACGATCAAAAACCCCCAAAAAAATTTAAATTTTTTTTCTTGGAATTTTTTTTTTGGGATTGAGACGGAAAAAATCCCAAAAAATCCCAAAATTCCGAGAGGAAAAATTCCCAAATGAATCCAAATTTTTCCCTTTTTTTTTTTGTTTTGCAGGATTTGGGAATCGAGATTCCCATGGAATTCCCGAAATTTTTGGATTTCCCCTGAGTTTCTCCAGGTAAATTCCGATTTTTTCCAAGGATTTTTTTTGGGGATAAAAAAATCTGGAATTCCAAACAGCAAAAAAAAAAAATCTTGGAATTCTTCATTTTTTGGGAATTTTCCCCAAATTTTTTCCCGTTTTGGGATGAAATTCCCAAGTTTTTTTGTGGAATTTTCAGCTTTGAGGAATTTGGGAATTTTGGTGGAAATTTGGGAATGGTTTGATGGGAAAAATCCGGGAATTCCGGTGGTTTTGATGGAAAAAAAATTGATGGGAATGGAAGGAAAAATCGGGAAAATCTTGGAAAATTCCCTGGAAAAAAAAACAGAATTTGGGAAGAAATTTAATTTAATTTAATTTTAATTTAATTTCAATTTTACTTTGTTTTACCTCATTTGATTTTGCTTTAATTTAATTTTATTTTCTTTCGTTGTTATTTTATTCTTTTCTATTTCTTTAATTTATTTTATTTCAATTTTATTAAATTCCACTTTTATTTTAGTTTATTTTGTTTCATTTAATTTTTATTCACTGGGAATTTAATTCAATTTAATTCAATTTAATTTCATTTCATTTCATTTCATTTCATTTTATTTTCCTACCCTGGGAGTTTAATTCAGTTTAATTCAGTTTAATTCAGTTTAATTCAGTTTAATTCAGTCAAATTTTATTTTATTTTATTTTATTTTATTTTATTTTATTTTATTTTATTTTATTTTATTTTATTTTATTTTATTTTATTTTATTTTATTTTATTGTATTTTTACTTTTTTGTTTCATTTTATTTTATTTTTTATTTTATTTCATTTTATTTCATTTTATTTCAATTTATTTCAGTTTCTTTCAATTTTATTTCAATTTTACTTTGTTTTGTTTTGCTTTAATCTATTTTAATTTAATTTCCTTTAATTTTTTGGTTTTTTCTTTTCAATTTTATTTTATTTCAATTTTACTAAATTTGGCTTTTATTTGATTCTATTTTATTTCATTTAATTTCATTTCATTTTCCTTTCTTGGGAGATTAATTCAATTTAATTCAACTTAATTCAATTCAATTTTAAAATTTTATTTTATTTTATTTTATTTTATTTTATTTTATTTTATTTTTTTTCAGTTTATTTCAGTTTATTTTTTGTTTTATTTCCATTTTATTTCCATTGTATTTTATTTCTTTAATTTTGATTCATTTGATTTTGTTTCATTTGATTGTGCAGTTTATTTTTTGTTTTATTTATTTTATTTTGATTTGTTTCAATTTCTTTTTTTGATTTCTTTTATTCAATTTCAATTTATTTGATTTGACTTCCATTAATTTTTTTAAAAATTTTATTTTGTTTTATTGAATTTCATTTTAATTTTATTTTTATTTTAATTTTACTTTATTTTAGTTTTATTTTATTTAAATTTAGTACAATTTTATTTTATTTTATTTTATCTTATTTTATTTTATTTTAATTTTGTATGATTTTTATTTTACTTTTTGTTTTATTTTGGTTTTATATGTTTTATTTTATTTTATTTTAATTTGGTATTATTTTTATTTTATTTTAATTTTAATTTTGTATTATTTTGATTTTGCTTTATTTTAATTTAATTTTGCATTATTTTTATTTTACTTTATTTTATTTTTATATATTTTATTTTAATATAATTTAATTTAATTTAATTTTGTATTATTTTTATTTTACTTTTTGTTTTACTTTATTTTTATATGTTTTATTTTACTTTATTTTATTTTTATATATTTTATTTTATTTTAATTTAATTTTGTATTATTCTTATTTTACTTTTTGTTTTACTTTATTTTTATGTATTTTATTTTACTTTATTTTATTTTTATATATTTTATTTTATTTTATTTTAATTTAATTTAATTTTGTATTTTTATTTTACTTTTTGTTTAACTTTATTTTTATATATTTTATTTTGCTTTATTTTATTTTATTTTTTTTAGCTTTTATATTTGCTGCATTTTATTCCATTGTATTTTATTGTACTTTATTTTATTTTATTTTATTTTATTTTTCTTTATTTCTCTTTGTATTATTTTATATTTCTTAACATTTATTCTGTTTTATTTCTATTTTTCATTTTCTCTTTCCGGCTCCGCCCGGTTCCGATCCCCGGCCTGGGGGGGCCTGGGGGGGCCTTGGGGTTCATTCCCTGGGGGTCGGTTCTGTTGGGTTCTGTTCGGTTCTGTTGGGTTCTGTTGGGTTCTGTTGGGTTGGGTTTGGTTCTGTTGGGTTCTGTTGGGTTCTGTTGGGTTCTGTTGGGTTCTGTTGGGTTCTGTTGGGTTCTGTTGGGTTCTGTTGGGTTCTGTTGGGTTGGGTTTGGTTCTGTTGGGTTGGGTTTGGTTCCGTTGGGTTCTGTTGGGTTCTGTTGGGTTGGGTTTGGTTCCGTTGGGTTCTTTGGGTTCATTTGGTTCCGTTGGGTTCCATTGGGTTCCGTTGGGTTCCGTTGGGTTCTTTGGGTTCTTTGGGTTCTTTGGGTTCTGTTCGGTTCTTTGGGTTCCATTTGGTTCTGTTTGGTTCCGTTTGGTTCATTGGGTTCTCTTTGGTTCCGTTGGGTTCCGTTGGGTTCCATTGGGTTCTTTGGGTTCTTCGGGTTCTCTTTTGTTCCGTTTGGTTCTTTGGGTTCATTTGGTTCTGTTTGGTTCTGTTTGGTTCCGTTTGGTTCCGTTGGGTTCCGTTGGGTTCTTTGGGTTCTGTTTGGTTCCGTTTGGTTCCATTTGGTTCCGTTGGGTTCTTTGGGTTCTCTTTGGTTCCGTTTGGTTCCGTTGGGTTCCGTTGGGTTCCGTTGGGTTGTTTGGGTTTCATTTGGTTTTCGTTGGGTTCTTTGGGTTCCGTTTGGTTCTGTTTGGTTCCGTTGGGTTCTTTGGGTTCATTTGGTTCTGTTTGGTTCCGTTGGGTTCCGTTTGATTCTTTGGGTTCTCTTTGGTTCCGTTGGGTTCTTTGGGTTCCATTGGGTTCTCTTGGGTTCTTTGGGTTCTCTTTGGTTCTGTTTGGTTCTTTGGGTTCCATTGGGTTCCGTTTGGTTCCATTTGGTTCTCTTGGGTTCTTTGGGTTCTGTTGGGTTCTTTGGGTTCTGTTCGGTTTCGTTGGGTTCCGTTGGGTTCTGTTGGGTTGGGTTTGGTCCCATTCGGTTCCATTGGGTTCATTTGGGTTCTGTTGGGGTCGGTTCCGTTTGGTTTGGTTCTGTTTTGTTCCGTTGGGTTCCATTGAGTTGGGTTTGGTTCCATTGGGTTCTGTTGGGTTGAGTTTGGTTCTGTTTGGTGCCGTTGGGTTCTGTTTGGTTTGGTTTGCTTCTGTTGGGCCTTGTTCCACCAGGTTCGGTTCTGTTGGGTTTGGTTCGGTTCTGCTGGGTTCGGTTCATCCCCACTGGTTGGGTTGGGTTCCATTGGGTTTGTTTTGGTTCTGTTGGGTTCTGTTGGATTCAGTTCGGTTGGGTTCGGTTGGGTTTGGGTCTCTTGGGTTCGGTTGGGTTTGGTTTGGTTCCATTGGGTTTGGTTTGGTTTGGTTCTGTTGGATTCAGTTCAGTTGGGTTGGGTTGGGTTTCATTTGGTTTGTTTTGGTTCCATTGGGTTGGGTTGGGTTCGGTTCCGTTGGGTTCTGTTTGATTCTGTTGGGTTGGGTTCGGTTCCGTTGGGTTCTGTTGGGTTGGACTTAGTTCAATTGGGTTCTGTTGGGTTTGGTCCCATTTGGTTGGGGTGGGTTTGGTTGGGTTCTGTTCGGTTCTTTTGGGCTCGTTTTGGTCCCGTTGGGTTCTGTTGGGTTGGGTTCATCCCCACTGGTTGGGTTTGGTTTGGTTCTGTTGGGTTCTGATGGGTTCGGTTTTGTTGGGTTGGGTTTTATTTGGTTTGTTTTGGTTCCATTGGGTTTGGTTTGGTCCCATTTGTTTTGGTTTGGTTCTGTTGGGTTCTGTTGGGTTCTGTTGGGTTGGGTTCATCCCCACTGGTTGGGTTGGGTTTGGGTCTCTTGGGTTCGGTTGGGTTTGGTTTGGTTCCATTGGGTTTGGTTTGGTTTGGTTCTGTTGGGTTCTGTTGGATTCGGTTCCGTTGGGTTCCGTTGGGTTCTGTTGGGTTGAGTTTGGTTGGTTTTGGTTCCATCGGGTTCCATGGGGGTTGGGTTCTTTTGGGTTTGATTCGGTTCTGTTGGGTTTGATTCTGTTGGGCTGGGTTCGGTTCCATTGGGTTATGTTTGGTTCTGTTGGGTTCTGTTGGGTTGAGTTTGGTTTGGTTGGGTTTTATTTGGTTTGTTTTGGTTCCATTGGGTTTGGTTTGGTCCCATTTGTTTTGGTTTGGTTCTGTTGGGTTCTGTTGGGTTGGGTTCATCCCCACTGGTTGGGTTGGGTTTGGGTCTCTTGGGTTCGGTTGGGTTTGGTTTGGTTCTATTTGGTTGGGTTTGGTTTGGTTCTGTTGGGTTCTGTTCGGTTCCGTTTGGTTCTGTTGGGTTGGACTTGGTTCAGTTGGGTTCTGTTGGGTTGGGTTCATCCCCACTGGTTGGGTTGGGTTGGGTTCCATTGGGTTTGTTTTGGTTCTGTTGGGTTCTGTTGGGTTCAGTTCGGTTCCGTTGGGTTGGGTTTCGTTTGGTTTCGTTTGGTTCCATTGGCTTTGGTTTGGTTTGGTTCTGTTGGGTTCTTTGGGTTTTGTTTGGTTTCGTTGGGTTCCGTTGGGTTCCCTTGGGTTCTGTTTGGTTCTGTTGGGTTCTGTTGGGTTTGGTTCGGTTCTGTTGGGTTGGGCTTCATTTGGTTTGGTTTGGTTCCATTTGGTTTGGTTTGGTTTGGTCCTGTTGGGTTTTGTTTGATTTGGTTGGGTTTGGTTCGGTTTCGTTGGGTTCTGTTGGGTTGGGTTCATCCCCACTGGTTGGGTTGGGTTCCATTGAGTTTGTTTTGGTTCTGTTGGGTTCTGTTGGGTTCTTTTGGGTTCTGTTGGGTTCTGTTGGGTTGGGTTCATCCCCACTGGTTGGGTTGGGTTTGGTTCTCTTGGGTTCGGTTTGGCTCGGTTTGGTTCGGTTCCGTTGGGTTCTGTTTGATTCTGTTGGGTTTGGTTTGGTCCCATTGGGTTCCATTGGGTTTGGTTCGGTTCTGTTGGGTTCTCTTGGGTTCCATTGGGTTTGGTTTGGTCCTGTTTGGTTCTGTTGGGTTGGATTTGGTTTGGTTCTGTTGGGTTCTCTTGGGTTCCGT